AGTAAAGGTTGGCCAACCGCCCTCTCTGCCTATACAGTCTCAAAAGTAGCCATGGATGCCCACACAAGGATTCTTGCCAAGAAGTATCCGAATTTCTACATCAACTGTGTTTGTCCCGACTTTGTTAAAACAGATATAAATTTCAATATGGGTAAGTTGACTGTTGAAGAAGGGGCTGCGAGTCCTGTTAAATTAGCACTCTTGCCAAATGGTGGTCCTTTTGGCCTTTTCTTCAATCGGAGTGAACCTGCAAGTTTCGACTCAGATAATTGATACTAGTACCATAAATAATACGCTTAATTAAATAATCTTGATCTTACCACAAAAAACCAACGATTAATTTATTCTCAATTAGCACCAATAAAAATTTGTGTTTGAACGTGGGAGTATTCCTTGGGAGATTGCATAGGATACGAAGCATTTGATTGTAACAATATTTATTTATTTATTTATTTTGGTTTTGAGGAAAGTTGTGGAATCAGATCGTTGATGACAAAAGTTGGAGTCAGATCTTCGAGACACGGGTTGTTTTTCTTTTCCGATTTGATTCCGTCGGAACGGACCAGAACAATTGCTTGGGTTGGAACAAGATCAGGAGACTGTCCTCCAAGACAATGCAAACCCTGTACTCTAGTGAAATTTTTTAACTATACAATCCATGATTTGACGAGTAATAAGCCACAGCAGCAGCTGGACTCGTGTTAACCAGTGCAGTATCCAAACTGCATCTTGTTTAATAATGCTTCTACGATTATTGGAAGAAAAAGATAAGGCTGTGCTCTAAATTGCAAAGAAATCTTTGGCACATCCTTCAGCAAATCACTATGTTGGATATAAATCCCAGGATTGGAGTGAAATTATTGATATCTGGAACCACCTCATCCTCTCGACCGGCAAATCCCCCATGGAGAGAGAGATATTAGCGAACCAACAAGTTAGGGATCAATATACGAGGAATTTTGTATTATATTTAGCATTGTTGGGAATTTAAAGTGGCTTTGCACCATCATCTTCCTAGATGCTATTTACTGGAATTGAGGAGCCACGTTTTTTTACTGGAATGGTCCTACCGTGAACTATCCTGTATTGCTCAGGCCACTCCCCAGAAGTCCAACCCCAGCATCAATTCCATTTCCCACGAGTCCCAACTCCAGCACAAGCCCATGGCCACCTTCAGCACATATACCAGTAAAAATCATTTGCTTTCACTATTATAACTGCCAGGTTCCCCCCTGGTTTAAGCTGTAATTCATTACATAACAAAAGGAGTGATACTCATCCCACGTCCCAGAAACAAAATAAAAGCATGCGTTAAGAATTTTGCATACCGTGCAGTCCCAAGGTTGAAACAACAGTAATCATGGGGAATTTAATCCAACCGTTCTGAAATTAAAAGTGGTTTGGGAAGAAAAGATAGTTTTGCATGCACTTTTGGGATGTAGTTTACCACCCATAATAGAAAAAATAATAGAAATATAAGTTTTAGAATCCCTTGTATTAACGGGTATACCTCCAATTCGAACAAGATTTCTGTGGCTATTTATAATCCTGTAGAATTTTAAAATATATATATATAGAAGAACAATCCACAGCACCAATATGTTTATCCGATAATGCCAAATCAATAGAAGTATGAACATACTAAAAAATTACAAAAGCAAAAAATAAAGAAACTTATGTCAGTTATATTTGAAAGCATTGTTAGAAATATTAGAGAAGAAAGAAGAGTATGATTTTGAGGAATTGTATAAAACACTTTTTTTAAGATATTTTTTCAACCTCAATGATACAACAAAGTTCTTAATATATTTATTAGAATTGTGAAAATGAGAATGTAAAAATCTTGTTTATATTATAAACAAAAGTACATGTCTTTTTAATGTAAATAGTTATTTTTTTTCATAAAACGATAGTTCAAAAGTTAATTCCTTTCATAATACAACTGTTCCTAAACAATTATATTTAATAATCTTTTATAATACAACTGTTTATAAAAATTATATTTAACAACCTTTCATAGTACAACAATTTAAAAGTCATATTTAATAAGATAATTATTTATAATTCTTTAGTCACAATTTTTCATTAGTAAGACGAACATTAACAAATTATCTTACAAGCAAAATCATATATGAAATTTAAAGAATTACTGAGCCAATTTGTGACCCAAAAGCTGAAGACTCCTATTAATTTAAGTTCTTGATTAAAAAATTACCTTGAGAAGTAGAAAACTTATTAGAAAAGCTTAACAACCATGCTGGATTTCCTTAAAACATCTTATATTTGTGCTGTTATTGAAAACATTTTATATACCTGTTCTTAGCACTTCAAAAAAAAAATGTTAAGCTTTTAGAAGCAACGTTTAGAGAGTAATAAATTAGAGCTTTTAAGTGCACAATAAGAAAACTTACATGTGCATGGTTGGACTATTGATCCCTTGATGGCCTGCTTAGAATAGTTTTGGAGTTGAAAAGTTGATTAGAAGTACAGCATAATATTGCATTAGGATGGCACTTGTTGATGAGCTCCAAGTAACCATTTCATTACCAAATTATGTGTTACTGCACAATTGTCAATTCTTTACCCTTTTAAGTTAAGCATTCCTCCCTTTTAGCCATTTTGAAAATAACTTTATATCATAAAACTAGTCTTCGAACTGTTAATATTTTAAAAACTGAATTCATCATATTTAAATTGTAAATAATTTATTATCACCAATGAGTGATATATATATATATAATAGAAAATTATTTAAAAAAATGTATTGAATAAACAAAATTTATTTATAAAGATCTTGAACGTTTTCAAATTCAAGGAAAGTTTTACCTTGAATCATTGGAATACAAATCTAACAATATTAGTCTTTGAATGATCTTCTAATTAAACCCAAATTATGTTTCTCATATTTGGATTTGTTATATTTAATGATTGGTCAAGCAACTTAAAAAAATATGAAATCTAAGGAGTAAGTATGAAGCACTGAGGTATTTAATTAATTAATTAATTAATTAATGATTGTTATTTAAAAAAATATAAATTTGAATCTTCTTTCTTAAAAAATATACGTTACTGTGGGTCTTGTATATGAGCTGCTTGGACTTATCCTTCCGTTTGTGTCTATTGGCCATACAAAATTGGTTACGTGGGGTTTTCCACTTCCACTAAATCTACTTAATCTTGCAACCACAAAAAATAAAAATAAAACAGAAAAACAAAGGTAAACATAAGAAGAAAAACACCCCGAAAGCAGTAAATACGTCGCTTCTTGTTTTGTGAAGATTGAAGATATTTTTTTGATATATTAATGTGATATTTGATATTTTACAATTTAATGTGATTACAGATAATGTAATTGTAAATAATATGATTACAAGTAATATTATAAAAATAATAATATTATAATATT